CTGTCCCCTCGCCAGGGGTCCCCGGACACTGCGCCCCTTTTTCAGCGACCTGCCCCGACCCAATCGCCTTCTCCTCATCAGGCTGCCGGAGTCTGGGGCGCAGGCTGTCAGCCTGTGGACACAAGGGGCTCACCCCAGTCCCCTACCACAGCCCCACTTGCCTTCGCAGGCTCTGGGCCCGAGGTCGTCAGCCTCCCCCTCCTCTCCCGTCCTCTCCTTGGCAGCTCCTCACTCGGATTCCCACCGCCTTCTGTCTGATCAGAATTTGCAAAGAGGCGTCCCGCCCCCCACGCCTCTGCGCCAAACTGGGCAGGGGCTGCGCAGGATGCGGCAAGAACCACTGGCCTCGAGGGTGTCGGGAAGGGGGCGGAGGGATACCGCACGAATGGGCTCGACGGCCCCCCCCCGGCCGTTCTGGAGCAGCTACACTATATGGGACCCCAACCCCGGGGCAGGATCGGGAGGTCGGGAACAATTGCACTGGAGGGAGCCGCGGATGGATACCAGCCCGCCCCTGGTGTGTCTGTACCCACACTGTTGAGTACCTGTCCCCACTCCTCCTCTCTCCTGCTTGGTGTCTTTCCTTAATGATAAGGGGAGTGGGATTGTCAGGGCTGCAGGTAGGAAGGCGGGAAGCGACTTCAGGCCATCCTTCCCTGGGCTCTAGGGTGGTCCTGCCATGTTCTCTTCCAGTGTTCATGGAGCTAGGCCGGGCAGGAAAGACCTGAGCTCTTAGGGGACCTGGGCTGGGGGCTCCTATAAGGACCTCGCCTCTGCCCTTCTGAAAGAAGACAGACCTAGACTTCTAACCCTAGGAAAGAAACCGCTGGTCAGCTCCAAGAGCCGTTCTTTCTGCTCATTCCAAATAGTAACTATGTGATGTCCCCAAGGTTGCCCAGAAGAGAGGGCCTTGCCTGTCAGGACCTGCAGGGGGTCATGGGTTATTCTTCTTTGCTGCTGTACTGCCAAGTCTCTGTCTCCAGGCAGAGCTGGCCCAAGGCTCTTCTACTGTTCTCTTCAAGTCTTGCCAGGCACATTAAAGCCCTTATGATATTGGGCAGTGTGGAAATGTGGCAAAGGATAAGAACCGGCTTGGATCTCAGCCACTTGCCATAAACCACCTGCCTAGTTTCACTAGTCATTCTCAGGGGAAGACACCAGCATGCCCCCACTTCCCCAAGACAGAAACCTGACTGGTTTTGAATCCTCTTCTTTCTCTCCCACATCCTTTCTCTATTGGAAGCCTTCCTTTCCCAGGCTACACAAGACAAACAACACGATAGGGCAACTGAAATGTGATGCCCTTATTGCTGTTCAAGTTAAAACATTTAAATGTCGTCCTCATTGTGTTTGGCAGAATAATGGTGGCTGCCTCAAAGATGATCTTACTCTCCAGAACATGTAAACATGTCATGTTACATGGCAAAGGAAAATTAATGTTGCAGATGCAATTAAGGTTATCAGCTGAATTTAAGCTGAAATTATGCTGGATTATCCTGGCCAGTGTAATTTTAAGGGTCCTTTACATGTGGAAGAGGGAGACAGAAGAGTCAATATTAGAGTGAAGCAGTGTGAGAAAGACTAGACAGACCATTGTTGGCTTTTACAGTGTCATGAAGCTAGGACCCAAGGAATGTAGGCTGCCTCTAGATTCTGGACACAAATATATTCTCTGCTAGAAGCCAGGGGAGGAAGAGAGCAGCTCTGCCAACACCTTGAATTTAGTGTAGTGAGACCTCTTTGGATTTATCCTGCAGGACTGTAAGATAGTAAATTCACATTATTTTAAACCACCAAGTTCATAGTAATTTCATTATAGGAGAAGTACTAACTGAAGACACTCACTATCCTGGTAAAATCTATTTCTCTTGACTTTTTTTTTAAAGATTTTTTTTTTTGCCATAGCTTGTGTCCACTCACCAGAGAGAGGCAGAGATAAAGGGTGAGACATCACCCCCTAGAATGGGTGGCCACGCCGCAGTCCCTTCTCTTCCATTCTCTTGGATTTTGGACACACATTCACATGTACCTAGTGTGATTTTAAAGCTGCTGGGTCTAGGACTGGAACCATAGCCACGTGGGAGTCCAGCACCTTAACCACTATGTCACCTGCAGTCCCTCTCTTGGCTTTCTTAAACTGTGTTTCAGTCCCTGAGAAGATTAATTTGGTGTTTGCATCTCTCACCACTACAACCATCCCTTCCACCAATCCTCTTCCTCTTCTCTCTGTTTACTAGTGAAAAGAGATGATCATATTGGCTCTTGAGACTTATCTTGTAAAAAAATCATGTTTGCTTAAAACCACTGATATTGGAGCCGGCTGGCGGCATGGTGTTTGGGGCACTGGACTTCCACATAGCCGGAGGAGGTTTTGAGTCCCTGACCTGGTGACTTGCTTTCTCACTTTGCTTCTCTCTGTCTCTCTCTTGTGAGTACATATGCTCTATAGCAAACAATAATTAAAAAAAGAACTCATTCATTTCTTATCATGAATTTTCATATATAATCCTATCAACTTTTATTTGTTATGGATATTTCTTATCACTGTACAATGTTCAGATGATATGATATAAAAATTCTCTGAGGAGGATTCTATACATTATCTGACTCTGAGTGGATCTCATCTATCTGAGAAAGACCACTTCATGCTGTCTAAATGGCCTTAACTGAATGGTGGGTTATTTTCTTCTTTGTTCCACAGCATACTCTTTTGGGTGAATACAAGACTTGGGAGAAGAGAACTTGAGCTCTGCTGGAACTTGTGGATGTGTATGAGTCTCTTTGCCTTCCCAGAAACCGAACAGAAATAAATCATTTTCATGAAGCTTACATTTACTTGTTTTGTTTTTTTTTTCACTTTTAAAAAATAATTATTGGGACCAGCAGTTAGCATAAAGGCTGTGTCACTGGACTCCCATGTAGTCGACTGCAGTTCGAGTCCCAGACCCGGCGACTTCAACTCACGCCAGTTAGAGGGATAATTTCACTGAAAACAGAACTTTATGCTTGTGTTTTTTCTTTCAAAACTTTACACATTTTGGGGCCAGCGAATGGCGTGATAATAAGGCACTGAACTCCCAAACAGTCGACTGTGGTTCATCTCTGGGCCGGGTAGCTTGAAACTCATTCCAGGCACGTGAGCATGTGTGCCCTGAATCCTGAAAGGAGAATGGCGAAGGGATTGTGGCATTGCTATCCCCCCGGGTGGTGATTTCTCACTTTCTCTTTCTGTCCCTCTCTGTGTCTCCAGTGAGTGCATACATGCTATACCAAAAATCTCTCTTAAAACAACAACAAAAAATAACTTTTAACATTTTATTATATACTTTTCTTGCTTACATAGTTTCCAAAGTGTAGATTTTCTGGTTTTTATTCTGTTTCATGTTCTCTGAGTTTCTCGCGCTGTGATTTTGTGTATGTCATTAATTTTGGAAAATTCTCAGTCATTATTTTTAAATTTTTTTTTGCAGACTTTTTTTTTTCCTCCTCTGCTATAGGGCACGTGCACTTGCCAGAAAGAGAGAAACAGAGAGACAGAAAGCAAGAAATCACCCCCCCGGGGGGGGGATGGTCATGCTGCAATCCCTTCTCCTCCATTCTCCTCTTGAGATCTTGGGCATGCACTCACACATGCCCGGTGTGAGTTTAAGCTACCAGGTCTGGGACTCTAACCGTGATCGACTACATGGGAGTCCAGTGACATAGCCATTACACCAACTACTGGTCCCTCAGCCATTATTAATTCAAGTATTTCCCTTTGTCCTTTTTCTTTTTTCCCTCTTCATTTTATTTTCATTATGTATGTAATACCTTTTGTAATTGTCCCACAGTTCCTGGAATATTCTGTTCCACTTTTTTCCTTGTTTTATCTTTTTTTCATTCTGTCTTAAGAGTTTCTATTGACATTGCTTCAATTTCACTGCTTCTATTTTCAGCCATCTTCAATTTACTGAAGAACATATCTAAGGTGTTCATCATTACTGTTAGTGTTTTTGATTACTAGAATTTCATTTTGATTCTTTCTTTTCTTTCTCTATTGCAATTTGTTTACATATAATCATTGGACATCATTGTGGGGTATAGCATGATTTTTGAAAGCATGCATATGGTGTGTAATAATCAAGGATATAGATTTTATCTTCTTTGACACTAACCCTTATATGATATTGTGCACATCTGATAATAGTTCTAGTCGTCTTTCTTTGGGGGGAGAGTAGTATATATTGAATTGCAATGACATTTTTTCCCTCTGCTGTGGTACACTGTTCCATAACATATTCCACTTGTTTACTTGCATTTATATGTCAATCATTTTCTCCAGACTCTCCCAACCACCCTCCCCACTCCTGTGCAGCTTCTGGTACCTTGAGTTTCCATTACATTACCCATATGTTCTTGCATGATGTCCACTTTTTCCCATTAGGACACTTAGCATATTAATCATAGTCATTTTAAATTCCCAGTCAGATAAACTTCCTACAGGGATGTTTATTACAGAATAGTTATAGTAGGAAAAAATAGATATAACTTAAATATATGATTATAAGTGATTTGTTAATTTATGACAGACTCATATAATGGAATGGATATGTTAATTACCTTGATTTACCCATTTTACAATGTATACACATAATGTACATGATAAATATATGCACTTTTTATTTGACAATTTAAGAAAGAGCATAGTGGTGATGCCTGCCTCTTGCACGTGGCATGGGTGCATGTATGCATACTCTTTCATGGAAGAAATAAAAATAAACTTTAAAAATATCAAATATTAGGGCCAGCAGGTATTATGGAAGTTAAGGTGTTGGATCACATGGCTGACTGTGCAATTTGAGTCTTGGACCTGATGGCTTAAAAATCACACTAGGCACATATATGTGCATGCTCAAAATTCTGAGAGAATACTGGAGGAGAAGGGACTAGAGTGTGGCCATTCCTCCCTGAGGTGATTTTTCACTTTCCCTGTCACTCTCTTTCTCTCTCTGGTGAGCACATGCACTCTATAGAAAAAAAAGAAATAAAAAACCTAACAATAAAAACTAAAAAAGAATTAAAGATAAATAATTCTGAAATGATAGGAAAAAATAAGTATATCATATAAAAGGGAGCCAGAGTACAACTATCAACATATTTCTCAGTACAAACCTTGCATGAGAGAAGTGGGATGATATATTCAAAGGGGTGAAAGAAAGAGGAAAAAAAAAAAGCTACCAAGCAAGAATAGTCTACATTCTATCCAGATGTATTTCAGAAATTAAGGAGAAAGACTTTCACAAACAAACAAAAACTGAGAGAGTTTTATCAGTAGTAAACCTACCTGAAAGGAAATGCTTAAGGGAATTCATCAAGCTGAAAGAAAAGAATGTCATTTAGTAATATAAAAGCATTAAAAAAGTGGACCAGACACTGGTACAACAGAAATGCAATACTCTGAGATGCTGGCACAACACAAGAAGGTCCTAGGGGGACCAGCAGTTAGTGTAATGGCTATGTTGCTTGACTCCCATGTAGTCGACCGCGGTTCGTGTCCTGGACCCGGTGGCTTAAAACTCACACCGGGCATGTGTGCGTGCGTGCCCAAGATCCCGAGAGGAGAATGGAGGAGAAGGGATTGTGGCATGGCTAT